GTGGTCAGCACAGGGGCGACGAGCCGCGCTCGGGCGGCGCCTGCGGGGGCGGTGGCGCAGGCCGTTGCTGCTCTTCAGCCCCGCCGCCCAGCGGCGGCGGCACGGCCGCCTCCGGGCTGCCGTCGCGAGCGCCTGCCAGCCTCCCGCAAGGTCCTGCCAGCTTCTCAGCAGCTTCGTGGCTGGAGGTTTTGCTCATCACAGGCCCCTCTCAAACGCCGCCCGATCCCTGTGCAACGGTGTGCCGGCCGAAGCAGCAGCAGCAGCAGCAGCAGCAGCAGCAGCAGCAGCAGCAACAGCACACTGCCACCCGGCGCGGCGGCATGGCGGCTGCGCCGAATGAGTCCCCCTCAGCGAGCAACGAGGCGGGTCCCGCGTGGCACTCGGTCAATGCAGCTGTTGGAGACAACATCTGGGTGTGCTGATTGCCACCCCGGACCCCGCGCGGCCTGCCAGCCTGCAGCCACACATGCCGCTGCACGGGGTGCAGGCGGAGACCTCTCTCGGCATCGCCTTGTCCACAAGCACCGCTGCTGAGCTGAGCTGCACGGCGTTGCAGCAAAAGATACTGTGCTGATGCATACGCGTGCGCCGCGCAACGATGAATATGCTAGTTGACATGTGCGGCACAGCATGCCCCAGCGGCGGCAGCTGCCCGCCAGTCTATGTCCAACCTTTGAGCTGTGGCGTTTTGCAGGCCGAATGGCGCCCGCGAGCCTCACTTTGTGCGGGGGATGAAAATCAAGTGGCACTGCCTGCCACACACTTGTCGCTCTGCATGCATGGCTTGTGTCTTCGTGGCGCGAACCTTTGTGATGGGCTACAAATCGCGATTGGTCACACGCGTGCCTTGCCTTGCCGGTCGCGAGGCAGCAATGGTCCACTGTTCGTCGGCCGCGCGCCGCGCGCGCGTGTTGAACAGGGCCTGGGGCCCCTCAGTTGCGCGCTGCCGCCCCCCCCCACACTCCCCCTTGGAACCCAACTTCTCCCATCGATGTTTCTGTCCTGCATTGCGCACAGCTGCGACAACCGATGTTGTCAGCTGGTCGCCAGCTACCGAGCAGGTGTGCGCGCCGCTCGCAGCTTGCATATGGCTTCGCGGCGTGGCGCTTGCCCTTTGGGCCCCCGGGTCTGCGAGAACCGCCCCCACACAGCCGTTGTTGCTGCAGGCCTGGTCCGCCGAGCAACAGGTCGAGCCCGCAGCGCGTGCCCGTGCCTATCATACCAGCTCGGTGGTTGCTGCGACCCGCACTGTCACTGCGAGGGGCGCGCGTGCAGCCCCGGCGTGCGGCGCGTCCCTGGATGGCGCCCCGCAAGCCGCGGGAAGGGAGGCAGTGGCCCTGGCCGCCGGCCCGGCCGCGCCCGTGCGCGCCGGGCGGCGCCCGGTCCCGCCTTGGCCTGTCCTTCTGGAGGCGACGTGCGGCCCAACCACCTATCCTAACACGCATCGCAGCAGGGCCTGCACTCATTGCGGTTGCCGGCTGATGGCAGCCGGCGCCCTCGCACATCACTTTCAATCCGGAGTCGCACAAGTTGCAAGTGTCCTTTCAAAAATTTAGACTTGCTTTTGGGTACCAGCACATCTTTCCCTTGAAATTCCACCAAGCTGTCTGGGGGTGGCTGCGCGTTGTGGCCCACTCCGCCCTGTGTCGTCCCTTGGCCGTCTCCCGTTGTTGTTGTCCGTTGATTGTATTTGTTAGGAAGTTTGGACCGCAGTTGGGCGGCTGGCGTGCGTCATGCATGCGCACAAGGGGCCGGGCAGGGCTGCCGTGCTCCTGGAGTGCCCAGCAAGAGCATGCGCGGTCTTGCACTCCACCAGTAACAGCGCCCTCATCGCCTCGGTGGGCCACGGCCTGGCGCATCGGGCAGCTGCTCGTCTGTACAGCATGCCAGCATGGCAGCCTCTGTAACCTGCCCATCTCGGTCCCACCTAGCGCATCGACCTGGCACAGACACACACCGCCGCTTCTCAGCCACTGACCCTTGGAATGCTGCTTGTCAGTCAGGACCAAGGCGCATACATCACGTGCAGGGGCATGTGTGACTCCTGACGCCCTTTGAAATACTGTCATCAAAACATGCACTCCACTGACACCGGGAGAGGTGGGGGTTGCAAGCATCAAAGCGCGCTGGGTCAGCGCGCCCTGCTGCTGGTCATGCATGCTTGGCCAGGAGGTGGACCGGTGCTTGCCTGACGCAGAGCGTTTGACAATTCTTGCAACCCATTGTTACGGCGCCTTTCCTTGTTATTGTCTCTTCGCAAGTACAAGTACGTTGTGCCGCACACAAACCGTATCTCGCGGGCACGTCCGCGGCAGGACTTCTGCGGCCGCGCGCGTGCTCTTGTATCTTCTACAACCATTTACGTGTCCGTTTTTGCGACTTGGAGGCGATCTGAGGACGCAATTGGCGGGACCAGGGGACAATGGAGCGCCTGCTGTCTTGGCTCGTTTCAGGCCTCTCGTATCAAACTTGCGCCGTGTGCCTGGTCTCCGTGCCGGCCACACACGCCCTGGGCGTCTGGCTGCACTGCCCCAAGCGCCTGCGCCCATGGCGATACCTCCTGTATCCCTTCAGCGGCGGCACAAAGCACGTCGTGCTGCAGCTGCTCAGCTGGGTGAGCGTCGGCCTTGCCTATGCATCGCGCGCAATGACAGGCGATCCCATATTCTGGCGCGCGCACCTGGCAACCTTGCGGCGGCTCTGCTCAGCGCAGCACCCGGGGGGCGCCGCTGCTCCCCACTCCGTCGCCGTCCGCCGCCCCTCCGCCCACCGACCCGCGCCCGCCGCCGCCTCCTCTGCCGCTTTCCCCCTCTGCGCAGATGCTCTGGGCGTTCAGCATCCTGGCGCTGCTGCCCGTATACCTCACGTTCCTGCCGGGCGTCGCGCCGAAGCAGCTGCCGCTCATCCCCCACACACACCTGGACGTCGTGTCCGGCGCCGCCGCAGTCGTGTCTTTTGTGGCGGAGCTCTTCATGCTCAAAGCCCTCCTCGTGTATGAGGGCCCGGGCGGCGGCGGCGGGCGCGGCAGCAGCGGCGGCGGCGGCGCCGGCGGCAGGCCGGCTGCCGCGGCGCGGCCCGGAGCCAAGGGCGGCGGCGG